GAGTGCCGTAGTTATACCAACATAGATTTGTAGTGTAGCCCAGCGCTGACTTAAAATGTATACATGGTAGCAATGATGATGACATTGGAACACAGCGTCTTTGTAATAGCTTTCAAGGGTTAAGACAAATAAAAAATGTGCCAGATTGTTTTTGAAGCATTAAATGCAAATGATCAACGATAACATATTTCTGGACTTAACAGTTGAATGTGTGAATTATTTATGAACACATTAAGAATTCAAAATATATTTGTAAAACTTTCATATTTTAAAAGCATATTTTAAGTCTTGCTCTTTTAATGCACAGTTGCAAGTACAACCCTTAGACGTTAATGCAGTATTTGCTTTAAACATCTAATTCTTTATGGATTTCTTTTAATTAATAAGTAGTACTGGAATCACATGTTAAGGTAGCTGTCTACTATTTAAAGTTGGTTTTAGAAAGGAAAAACTGGTATTCAAACCTTTATGAGCTACATACATTCTGTTTAGAAATGCGTATTTGGGCCTTGATCCTCACATGTGCTTTGCCTATATAAACCCCTGGGTGTGCATGGAATACTGTTGCCATAAGTGGGGCTCTATGCCTGTGCAGGCATCTGTCTACACGGAACTTATTGCAGGATTGAAGGTCTTAGAATGCAATATGTATTATATCTATAAGCCTAAATGTAATTTTTGGCCTACCTAAAGCGCTTGATTTGAGTTTTACATTAGTTCTCTGTTATTGTTAATAATAATAAATCATGATTTATGTAGATACTTAAATAACACAGTGGTGAGCGTGGTACATATTTACTAGTAGATAGGAGGATATAGCACTCTAAATGTACACCACTGATAATTAAACTATTAATAGTTAATAGTGTAGTTTCATTCAGGGCCAGAGCTCAAACTCCCATTGACTTTAGCAGGAAATGTCGGGCCCTAATAGAATCCAATATATAGTTGGCTTCCTATTTTAAAGTGGTCTTCATAATTGTACATTTTAGCCCTCCCTTTCTTTCTGACACATGGAAAATTTGTTGCCAGAAATATTAATAACTTTGTCACCCAGATACACAGTGTCGCTATGGTCTCTTACAATTGTTATCTATGCATATTTGTTCCTAGAAATTACTCTATTTCATGAAAATGTATTTTGTTTTGCTTGTTTATCAACCAGGAAAGAAATAGCGTTTCCCTTAATATATTCATTCATATTTTCCTTTTGCATTTTTTCATTTCATTGACACCTTGCATAATAGTAGTTCAGTTTTCACTGACATTTTTATAGCTGCTATGACAACATTCCTGTTTTGCATGATACATGCATAATCGTCTGTGATCACAGTTTTATATCGCTTTCATTCTCTCTTAACCGTGTTAAGATTCCTTTTTGCCCTTCAACCCAATTTTCATATGTAGCTATGATTAAACTCGTTTAAACACTTTCCTGGTAGTTTCATATTTATTCATAAAGGGGAGCAGTTGATAAAACACCTTTTCTGTAATCAGTCTGAGTTTTAAGTCTGATGTTTCTTCAAAGTTATCATTAGCAAGCATCTCAGTCAATTCACAGCCTTTCAACATCCGTTAACTAGTGTGGCAAAAATGACACTTTCCAGTAAACTTTGGTGTGTGTAAGCTGTGATATTTTGATGCTGTAACTTGTTCTTCACTTTAGTGGTATTGTTAACCTTGAAAATTATTGTATTTTCAAAAAAAACCCAAACCTACCCCCAAATTTAAAAAAAACCCAGAATTGTATGTAGCAGTCTGCAGAGATACTTTCTGCCTGTTTCTTGGATTATTTGTACATGTGTGGACACATATCTATGAATATAAGTGCACACATTCTTCACAGAGTCCCTCTCCACCAACCCTGAAGTTGGAAAAGAAGGTAAGTTCTCACCATATGGAATTTTGGTTCTTCCTACGGGAGGCAAAATGGCTCAGCTCTTTCCCACTATAAAAGTCAGCACGTCAGTTTCCCATCAGACCTTTCTACCTTTCTCCTGATTTTAAAAAACAAAGAATCAGAATCTTCCAATAAACAAAGCTCCATCATTTTTGGGTCTGTTCTTTAGGCTTTTCTAGAGTGATGCTGCAAAGACATCTTTTGCTCTTTACATGAATCTGTTCATTACTTTTATTTCTGTGGTTTATTTCCTCACATTTGAATCCTGCTTCTTTGAATTGTACAGAGTTTTGCCTTCAATGGCACCATTGTTTGCTTAAAAAATTAACCAATTTACTAAATAATTGAGGTCCTAAGCAATAACAAAATGATTTCTTTAAAGCGTGGCATCTGAGATATGAGATATATATGAGATATTTGATTTCCCTTGTCATGAAGGATTTCACTTTGAAGTTTTCTCTTTTATTAGGAAAGCTTATAGACTCTGCATCACTTTTGGATAAAGATGCTGAAAAGAACCAATTTTTTAGATTAAATTAAAACTGAATTAGACTTCATTGTCTCTATACAGTGAAGAAATTAAGAATTAAAGATGGCATCCATCAACAGGATGAGTACTTAAAAAAACAAAACAAAAAACCCCTAAAACTCGACATTAGGTTCCTTTTAATCAGTTTGTGCTACCACTAATTGCACATGAGCAAGAATGATCTAATCAAAGGGGATAACCTCTTCCTGTGAGAAGATTGTCATTTCTGTGGTCATAAAGTATGTAAAGAAGATTGTAGAGGTCCTAGGACAGCAGCAGTTGCATTCTCTCTTTGATATAAAAGAGCCATATTGTACACCACCACATCTACAGGTTCCACTGGTTGTTTATACTGTAATTCTATGTACATCTTTTGACTCTTCTTTGTCCCTTAGCTTTGTACCAATTCTGCCTTGAAATCTAGGTGTTTATGATGTTTTAATAGGCAGTTTGCTGTTAACAGATAAGTAATGCTTTTTCTTGGAGAAAGAAGATTTCCCTGTTCTTCAAGTCCTGCCAAACCAGTGGTGCAGTTTTTAATGCCTTCTCTCCAAAGCTGCAAGGAAATCAGCTACCAGTTCTGTTTCTGCGCTAGCAAGATATCCGGGCTTACCTAAAAACAAACGGGGGAGGAGGCAAAGGAGTGCATATTTGCGAAAATTGAACATCTTTGGCCAAAGTTATAAAATGTCCATGCACCATTTTATCTCTTTGGGGAGGTGTGGACACTGTTCAGTCTACCCTGTCATTGGACAGTGGGAAGAGAAAGTGCACAGTACTAGAAAGGTAGATCTAAGTCCCTTTCTTACTAATAAAAACTCTGAGCTTCAATGGTTTTAAGCACCTGCACCTGCACTCAGAGGGAGCTGCAAGTGCTCAGCACTTCTGATGATCAGGTCCAAAACATTTCCTTCCTTCCTTCTCCTGTTATGGAAAACATCTGTATTTGAATAAGAGGGTTATCAAGTTATGTATACTGAAACTTGTCTGATTATCCAATGGACAAATCAGAATTTTTGCCTATTAGATATAGGTCCAAATTCATTTTCGATGTAACTCCATTTACTTTGAAGGGATACAGTTGGTGCATTGTCTTTAAATAAGGATCAAATTAAATGGCAGTGCAAATCTTGGGGAGACTTTAAACTGGTCCTTTAAGTCAAGAGACTGCCCATTACAAATGATCATTAGAGCAAATTTCATTGTGCTATGTCATACTTGACTAGCAAGTCAGATCAAGTATAATTTTTCCCTTCTTCCTCAGGGCGAAAATATTATTTCATATCCTCCTGAGTAATCAGAGTACTTTCTTTCCTGGTCATTCTTTAGTGTAGAGAGAAACTTTTCAACAGCAAGGATTTCATGCACATTATTCTGACATATGAAGAGCATTTTAATTCTTTTAAATTCTACTGTGTGTTTCAATACACCTTTGACTCATGATTTTCAGTCAAGTTCTTGGTGCAGAGAGAACCAATTGCCTCTGTAGTAGGTACCATACATGTTTGGTCACTTATATTTTGGATTTTTGCAGCGGAAACTCTTTGTGGGTCAACTTATTAGTAATTTTGGCAACTTTCTGGCCTCTTTAAGGAATCAAGAGATTTCCACTTCATGTTCTTCTCTCTTTAGATTATTCCAGAGTGATGTCTATGTATTGTTCTAGTTTTGAATTGGCAGATTCAATTCCCTTAAATTTGCTTTACTAAAAAATGTATTTCTTGTGGCCCTGTCTCTAAGCAGGAAGGTTCTAACAATTGCCTCTGTGTCTTCAGTTGAACTTTGAGAAAGAAGATTTTAGTTTCATTATCAGACTTTTTCCTAAGGTAATATCAGATTTTAAATGAACCAGTAACTCTGTTGATCTATCATAATCAATCCACATTTCTTTAGAGCCAGTTTTCATTCTTTGAATATCAGGCAAAACATTGACTCTTACCTTGGACTAATGATTCTATTTTACAACTCAGAAGCATTATTTGTCCCATTTTATTGGCTAGGGAAAGACACAATGCATCCAAATACTACTGTTTCCAGGTGGATCAAGGCCTATGCAAGAATACTTCGAACAACAGGATCTTGAGTCTCTCCATACTGCATGAAGCTTTATTCTGCTGGGAGTTGTAAGCAACGCTCAGATGGAATATACCTTTTGGAAAATTAAAGAGTAGCAACTGGGTCAAACGTACACATTTTTCCTACCCACCATAAACTTGTATTAACTTCTGCAGCAAATTCACTTTCAGTCATAGGATCTGTCAGATACTATAGTCATTTTAAGGTAAGGGGCTATTGCCTGCTTCTATTGTCAATTACATTTCTATATGGTGAGGACTGAACTTCTTTTCCAACTCCTAGATTGGTGAAGAGGGGAGGTATGAAAAAGAGTAATTACTTACAAGTAATGGTGTTTTCTATAGTCCTCCTCTTCACCAACACACTTTCTCCTGCCTCCCCTGAATCTCTTTCCTCTTTGTTTTGTTGTCTTGGAATTAACCCATGCACTGGGGGTAAATGAGGTGCTGACCTCACGGGGAAGAGTTGAGTCTTTTTACCTCCTGTTTCCTGTAGGTGCAGCCCAAACCCCATATGGTGAGACGTTACCTTCTTTTCCAGCTCCTGCACTGGTGGAGAGGAGGACTATGAAAAATGTCACTGCAGGTAGGAAATAAAGTATACGCTGAACTTTATATGTGTGTAAACAGTTAGATACTGTAGTAAATCTAACCACACCCAGAGGTTAACCCTGCCTTTAGATGCAGAGTCATATGTTGTCTTGTGTGTGCTCACCCATGCCTATCAAAGAATAAGATCAGCGCCTTTGGATATAATGTTGTTGTTCAATTGTAAAAATTGTTGTTTTTCATTCAGTTATGCCAGAGTAAATCCATTGACTCTAGGTTTTACTCCAGAATAACCAAATGCAGCTTCGCTCCATGTGTTAGAGGATCAGCATCAGCTAGTATCAACAGCACGTCATTTGTTACAGCTTGTTTTACTCATCCCATTGCCAATATGTCTTCTCTAGCCTATGGGGATATGGACTGTCATTTGCTAATTCTGCATCTGTGACTTCTATCAAGAGAGAAATGTCTGCAACAAAAAATCAAGTGATGAAAGATCATGAAATGATCAATAACTGGACAGTGCTGAACAAAACTGTGGCCAGATGTAGATGGCTGATGTTCTGTGGCATGGTCTAATTCTTAAGATATTTAAGAAATAGTTAAAGTGAAAAAAATATACATAGGAATTTTGTCATGATCAGAATAGAATTTTACACCCAAAATTTAGGACTGTCAAAAAAGAAAAAAGATCTTAAAAAATCGACTGTTAATAGGTAGGTTCCCATTTATAGAAAAAAAGGCATGGAAAGGGTTTATTTTTAGAGGAATAACACTAGTATGCCAGAACCAGAAAGTGAAATTGATTAGATGCTGGCTGTAAACAAAAATGAAACTATCTTGTTTTCAATGTACTTGGACCACAAAGTGCAAAAATGATCACATATGGTGAAAAGTAAATTTCTAAAAAATATTTTAGTTAGACTCTAAAGAGTTATATTGATAACACTGGCAAGGAAACAGTTTATTTTTTTCAATGAATCTATACCTGACAATAATGCTTTAAAAGCAAAGTGTCTTATTGGCTTAGCCCAAAAAAGTAAGAAATTTCAGAATTTAGGAGGAAAAATTTTTTTTTTGTCACTTTGGCAATTATCATAATTCACAGAGATGTCTTAGTCTGCAGTATAGGTGGAAAAGTCTGAATGTTCTTGCTTAAGAATGTTTTTAAATCTTACAAATCTAGTAAATTTTTGTAGCTGAAATGTATGTGAGAGGCAGAAGACTTTTTAAAAAAACCCTGTGTATTAAAACCCATGAATTACTTATAGTTCTGATAATACAGAAATGTTTAAAACATACAGCGCAGCTGTTAAATATGTTGATAGGGAATTATTAAAATTAAATATGGATTCTTGCCATGACTCTTAACAGCACCTTTAAATCGATAATGATTTATTTTGTCAGCATTGGAGGCATTAATGTCTATTGTCAAGGCCTTTAATGCTTACAGCTTTTCCAGGTTTGGCTAACAGGCCATTTGGAGCCATTACATTCTATTGGTGCAATGTGGATGTTATGCATAGGTACTTAGCCTCACATGCCAAAAACTCCTTATGAAGTTGTTGATGGAAAAAACTTACTGCACCTGCTTCATAACCTGTTTTTAAACCAAAATATGCAGTTGTTTTTAAGTGTCACTGCCAAACTGCTCAACAATGTTGAGTGCAGCAACTCTGGAGGTCGGTGCAGAAAATCAAATGCCATAAACTACCCAGTCTTGAATGGTTTGTGCTTTGTGCAACTGTAATCCCTGAAATCTGAAATGTCTGTGTAACAATTTTTTTTTTTTTTTTTTTTAAGATACTCGTGTGATGCAGTCTTGTAAGCCAAATTTCAACAATTCAGAGCAAGGGCATGGTTACTTGTAAAGCTATGGCTCAGTATGCCTTGGTTATTAACCCCTGCAAATAAGGTTTTTTCCCCCTTTAAGTGGAAATATCCATCAGACCATTAACTATAGCAAGCATGTTGATATCACTCTTGCATGTTTATTTTATGTAAACATTAGTTATGAAAAAAACATTTTGAGACCAAAAATATATCTATGAAAGGGTCTTGTCCAATAACCTATTTTTCTTGTGGTTAAATTGAGGGAACTGTTGCCGTTTGCAATCTAGGACTATAACAGCGTTTAAAAGAGAACTGGATAAATTCATGGTGGTTAAGTCCATTAATGGCTATTAGCCAGGAAGGGTAAGGAATGGTGTCCCTAGCCTCTGTTTGTCAGAGGGTGGAGATGGATGGCAGGAGAGAGATCACATTGCCTGTTAAGTCCACTCCCTCTGGAGCACCTGGCATTGGCCACTGTCGGTAGACAGGATACTGGGCTAGATGGACCTTTGGTCTGACCCGGTACGGCCGTTCTTATGTGGTGAAACCACATCATTGTACACAACATTTTATTTGGGTAGAGGTATTCAAAGTGGCAACACACCATGAAATCCATTAACAGGAAAACTTGTTAAATTCATCAAAATTCATCTGATGTGGAGCCCTGAATAAGGAACTATAGTTTAAGTTTCCATAGTTGATTATCAAAGTGTATTTTGAATGAGTTCTGGGCAAAAGTTGTATTCTTTGTGGATGTCTGCTTTCTAATGAGCATACAACCCCACTTTAATCTAGATTCTAGGCTTTGCGGGTGCAAGTTCCCATACTTCTAGTAAAAGTAAGGGCTGTGCATCCAAGTTTAAAACCAGTATGCACCTGCAAGTCTTAAGAGATAACTTGTGCTCCATGAACGAAACATACATAGTTGTTCAACTGGGTTCCATTATGCACCTTAACTAGACCTCCACTAAAATATACTGCAATCTTTACTCAGGTGAGTGGCCCTTATTCACGTGTGTGGTCCTATGTGAAGTCAGTAGAACTACTTACATAATTACAGACTAATGACGTGAGTGAGTGCTGCATGATCCAACGATTAAAACCCAATCAACTTAATTTCCATCCTTTTTTCCCCATTAGGCCTCGATCCTGATGCTCTTACTACTCTATGTAGTCCTTTAGACTTCAGTAGGATTTCTTCTGGTAGTAAGCACTATGCACAGAGTATGTTTTTTTTCGGGATTAGGACCATGCAGCCTCCTCTGAGCTAAAGACAGAGGTATTTTTTAATAAAACTTACACAGCATTTTGTCATAAAATTTAAGGCCAGAAGGGATCGCTAGATCATCTACTCTGTCATTATTGATGTTAAACAAAACAACCATATTAACTTCAGCTCTAATCAGAAGATAAAGAAATCTAATGTGGGGAAAACCCTTAAAACTGTTGGGGGAAAGCTATCATTTTCAGACTTTAAAGCCAGCATCAGCTACCAGTTGAGAGCTGAAAATTTAATGACTTGATAGTTTCATTTAAAGTAGACACAATAATATCCCCCTTCCCAATCCTTCCCTTGCCAAGTAAACATGCATGTGAGTGAATAAAGGCTAACACTGGTGTCTATATGTTTAATCAGACCAAAAAACTTCTAGTTAGATTTCAGCATGACACCAAGTAAGGGAGTCTTAAGCCTTAGTGTCACAATCATCAGCTGTTCTAAAAAACAAAAGCTACGTGTGCTAAGAACACTTCAGCAAAAAATCTCCAGACTCCTAACACTTGCAGGTGTGCACATTGGGCTGCATCGGATTTCATATCTGCCTGTGTGCCTTCTGTCTGGGCTGCTGTTAATGTAAGTTAGTTCTCACTGGTGAAACGCTGTTCGCATGCTGTTCCTCTCCGATCAGGTTTAATGTCATTTAGGGCTTGTTTCTTGTGTAACAGGGCTGGAATTTCTTATTTCAGTTCCTATTTGCAGTGTTAGTTAGCTCAGCCTCTGGCTCCTTCGCCAAGCTGGCAGAGCATGGGGGTTGACTTCCTGTGCAGATGATGTAAAAGTGATTCTGTGATTCTTCCTCTGCAGCCATTGGGAGATAAAAGCCAGGACAGTGGGGATTGTAAAGAGGGAGCCAAATTATATGTATAATATTAAAGTGAGTGCATTTGTGGTTTTGCTGTTCTCCAGGGTTTTTCACAAGTAGAAAAACATGAATTAGCATTTTACATTTCCATATATTGACTGGCAAAATAGCCTCCTCTCAATTAAGACCTATAGCTTTTTGGGATATATGCAACAATTTTATAAAATATTTACAGCAAGATTTGCATTTTACACAGTATTACAATTTTTCTTGTGTTTTAGCAGAAAGGGCTGAGGCCTAGGAGAGGAAATGCATTCAGTGTATCAAGAAGAAATCTAAAACTGGATTGCTAGCATTCAGCAGTAGAAATGTCCAGGGTTGATTATTATTTCCAGTAATTTCTAAGGTTGATTTTGCCAACCAGCTATTTGTTATATCCTCTTTAAGGACCATGTTCCCTATGCAGATCTATTATTTTCCCTTTAAAGCTGGCTTTGGAAGAGACTGTTTTTAGCTTTGTGCTAGACAGATAAGTAGAACATTTCCCCCCCCCCCAATGTAAATGCGTGCTGTAAAGAACATAGCTATTTCCTGGATAATTTGCAGTTGTATATTTTATGTTAATTTCACCGAAAATATTGCACCCCTGCCAGGTTTAGTAGAGGCTCACTGTGATATGAATAATTTCTAGCGAATCATTTTTTTTCTTCATTTAAGATTTGGCACCTTTTTAAGATTTTAATAATAGCAACAAGGAGGAAGATTTAGAACAAGTGAAACATTAGAGCCAAAGAAACTCACGTTGAGCGCTAATGTAAAATAGCAAGAATAATTACATGGAAAACAGTTTCCACAGATGTTTTTCCTTGTAATGTAATAACTATTTACTAAACTGTTTATTTTAGGCCCTCGGTTTACAATAAAATATTTATACATGCTCTGCTGTAATAAAAAAATATTGACAAAATACTATAGAGATTTTAAAAAAGACCATTAGTATTTCTCTGTCTAGAAAGTGAACACAACAAAAGTTGTATGTGCCATTTTTCATGCACAGTATTTTGAGAGGTTTGGGGTATTAATAAAATAACTGTCACTAGCTGGAGTACTCACCTTGAACTAA